CATTGGGGTAAAAAAAAAAAAGGAGAGCAATTGAACCTAAAAGTCCCTAAGATCCTTTGAACTCCAACATGCTTTGTGTCCCCAAATCTGCACTGAGCCTGTGTCAGGCGTTCTGCAAAGTTGGCCGGTGGAGACGGCAGACTTCATGAGGAAGCAGTGCCTTCATGTCCAGTTTGACGCTAATTTGCAGCAATTCCTCTGTCCTGATTTTCGAAAAAGAGGCAACTTTGTTTCTATGAATCAGCAGGGACATTCTTGCTGTTTCCAATGGTCACCATTAGCAACCACTGATGCTCCCAGATGCAAGTTCCCAGTCTGCAAAATGCTTCCTCCTGTGGTGGGGTTGATGGCAACTCAGCGACAGCCCCGGGGTGATCCTAGGGCCTGTGTGTCCACACACAGCTACCGGCAGACTGTCCCCACGTCAAACCGCTTCCAGGGATCTTAGCCACTGATCGATGTTAAGGCTGCAGCACCTCTCAGCCCGAACCCCACTCACTCAGACTGTGGCATCTCTCAAGGTGGCGCTGAGTTCACTCTCTGGAGCACTGTTTTTATTGCATAAGGATGATGACATTGCGTTCAGCTCGCTGCGACAGGACCCTGGCTTGTAAACTTCAGGAGAATTAATCGTAAGTACATGCCCTACACTTGAAACTGGGAGACCTTCTCCAGTCACTGTGAGCTCGCAAATGAGACACCCGGATTCGCGGGGGGGGACTGTTTTCAGTGGGACCTTTTTTCTTTTTGTCTTGAGTGGTTATTATGGAAATAGAGTCATTCTGATCGCGGTGATTTGTCCGACCTTTTTTTTCAATGAATCAGCTCAGCCCCATCTGCCCTGGGCCTCTAGCATGTCCATCGGAGTCTGCTGAGTCCACAGAGTCCAGTTCATGGACTCCCCATTTCAGATGCCCCCCCACCCCGATCCCCAGAGCAGACCCTGCCCCACAGAGGGGTGGGCATGGGGGTCGTGAGTGTGGCCACAGGGAGCACGTTCTGAGACTGGAGCCGCCCGATGCCAACCCCACCTGCATCACAGCAAAGCCACAGACCCCACACACACCCCCGGCCCCCACCAGCCTCTAACCTCCTTCTCTCAGTTGTCTCCTTCAGCTTCCTAGCCCCAGGGTCTGGCAGAGCCCTGGACTCCTCACGAACACTCAAAACTCCTTACCGAATGAATGGCTGGATGAATGAGCAGTTTTGGAAAGAGGGTATTGGGTTCAGAGACAAAGTGTCTTCAAACTAGTCCTAATTATGAGAGTGAAACCTCGCCGGAGTCTGAACAGCAGCAGGCAGGGTGAGTTCACAGACCTCAGCTCGGTCATCTTCACGGAACTGGTGTGGCTGGTCCTACTGTTCCTTTTGTCTAACGAGAGAGGTGGAGCTTGAGAAGTCAAGGCATGCAGCCGGAATCTAGACCTGCTGTGCAACCGAGCATGTCACCCACCTCCCTGACACTCCTGTCTCCTTCGTTTGCCAATGGATAGCATCACGACTCGATTACCCGCGGGATGGCCGCGGACACCAGGCAACGGCTTGGGGTGATGCAAGGAAAGCAATCAGACGAGGCTAGGGAAAAACCATCCTCTGTCCAACGGCTGGCAGGCTGGTTGGCTGGACGAGGAGAGGTTGCACCACCACCAAGAGCTCAGGGCGGTGGGGGGCGGGCAGGGTCCAGAGCTCATCAACCTCCCTGATGCCAGCCC